AAGATTTCAACACGCTCGGTCAAGACCCGCGTTCAATTCAACTGCGTCCTACAAACCTCCGCTGTATCTACCACAACTTATCAAACGAAGAACTCGATAAGTCTCTTTCATTTTGTGTGTTATGCAATTGTACTAAAGTATCTCTGGTAGCAACTATACATAACCGTTTATTGTTAGTGTTATTTACCTTCTGACATTACTTCGAGTTCACCTTCCAAAAATGAAATAACCTATAGGCAACGTTGCACAATACATCCACACCCTTGCTCGTCGTAGTGTGTCAGGACAACGGAAACTAACGGTCGAAAGACAGTGTACGGTTTTTCACCTTTGAAAATCATGTGTATGGATAGCGTGGGTATCCGAAACTTTTACAAATGCACGCTACTGTTAATAGATGAGTAACTGTTCATAAAGAAAAATATCTACCAATCCATAAGATCCTCATAGCTGAGAATTTTCAGTTTAAGAGGCAATCACAACCGGATCATGTGTGACAAAATAATCAGTTGTCGGTGTGTGGTTGAGATTTAGGTGGGCTAAAAGTGAGGAAAACAGTTTATGCCAAATACCGCCGCTCAGTATTCGCAAAATGGTTACCAATGCATAGTGAGGAACGTCTATGTCTAATGAATTGCTCTGTCAATTATCCGTAAGGGTGGTGTGCTTAGGTGAGCGAATCTTCAAGGTCATCTATCACCAACGGCTGTTAAAACGGTGAGTAATGTAATAAGACATCGCAATTGTGGTAAAAGTGAGTGGCTTACGATGGACGAAAGTTGCAGGTAGTTCTGCAGCTGAAATAATTCGGTAGGCGTTGTAAAACTTACATAGTGCTTGTGCCACTCCTGTAAATAATTTCTGCTGTTTACATCTGCCTGAAATAATTCGGTGGGCGTTGTAAAAATTACATAGTGCTTGTGCCACTTCTGTAAATAATTTCTGCTGTTTACATCTGCTTGACTCAAACACACATAGAAGTACGTGTTCTGGGTCCTCGATAAGTGCTATTCCAAATTATCATCGCCGTAGACTCTCATTATTTTCGGACAAGCTTTGCGAGGTTGGAAGAAAGCAAGACTTGCAGATGTTGATGACCTATGCCCGTAGGTCAAGTGTGGTGGTAAACTGCAGCAGAGTTTTCCATTATAAATAACAAAACATTCCAGGATGATCATGTCGTTAATAACCCCGGGCAGCTGAACGAAACTAGCTGACGAACGTGTGGTTAGGGGTCCAAATAGCCTGATCAACTAGCATGGTGGGACCTACGTCGATTATAGCGTACTGTTTGTTCACAGCAAATACGCTCAGCTTACCAGCTTCTTCGGATTACGCGACTTTCCGTTTGTATTGCATTTGCAGTACACCCATTCATAAAGCAAAACAGGGTTAGTCTTTTGACTATTGACTACACCCACTAATACCACATGGTTATTCGCCATGTAATCACTGAAAAAACGCCATGAAGGATGAAAAGCGGACAGCTCCTAATTCCTCAACGAACATATCTGAACCCACTTTTGGATCCAAAGCACAGCAGGGTGAAAATCGATTGCGGCCAATATTCAAGAAGGGAGATTAATTAAAACAAATGGCGACAAAATGAAGGCAGATTGAGGTGATTTTTGTTTCCAGCATGCACAGAACATAATGCAACATTTTCATTAAGGAAACTAGTCACAAGGTTGCTGAAAAATCTTCGACAACCCACGACCGGTTTTACCCTTCTTGGGGCTCATCAGGTAGGCACAGCCCCTGAGTTTCCGTCAACCTTATGTTCTACGTGAACCCAAATTGGACTGTTTTCGCGAAGTACACTCATTTGCAAATCAATTTGGTTTTCACGAGAGACTGGAATGCATAACTCTACAACTGGATGTGCTGCAACATTTTTATTTGAGAATTTTTAACCCACCCTCAAAGGTTTTGAGGCAACGGATCACCCCCAAAAACCTGCCATTTCAACAATTCCACAGAGTGCTGTGAACTGAGTGGCATTTATTCTGTTAAAAGAAGGATGAAACCGAAGTAACGTGCTTCTCAGCTTTTCGGGACAGACTGACCCCAATTTAACGTGCCAGTTCGATTAAATCCGCGGATCAGAAAGCACCCGCAAACTAACCATGTGCATGAGAGCTATATGCAGGGGGCCCGTGGCAAAATGACTCCAGAAATCTGGAAGAGAATGTTGAAAATATGCCAGAGACGGATGTCCCTTGCAAATCGGCTGTGTTACTCATCCGACGAATGTGCCTTACTTCTTTTTTATGTCCAATCAGGCAAAAGCTTCACATCATGGAGGCTGCAGCAATTTGCTGATCTCAGCCTCCTCCGTTTAAGGGCAGCTTACAGCCAACAGTGCAGGGCAGTTAGTTTTGACAATTACTCTCCCAACTTTCATGCTTTTTCTATTCGTACGTATCCTTTTATGCCTTTATGCTTTCCAATTGGACACTCTCACTGCATTGTTAGTCACATGCAGAGTCACAAAGCTGTGTTTTGAACATGCCTGCACAGAATATCTGTGCCAGATTTCCTCACTGCCCTGGACGAAGGCTACTCGCGATAAGAGACTAGAAAATCTTTCCTCGAGTATTGTCCCCATTTCAGGGGGGGGGGCAAATTCTGCAACGGGCAAAAACGAAAATCGAAATTTACCACAAGACGGACCAAACGTATATGGGACGTGGAATATCTGATATGAAATTTCTTGGTATAGGAAGCACGTCAGGGATTACAAGAAGCGAACTGGTGCACCGGTTGCTGAAGTGAACTGGCGGCTGAGTTCAAGACGTACAACTGTCTATTTTGCAGAATGTCAATGAACCTGGCCGCAGAGCTGGAGGCAGAATACTTCAAGACCAGAGTAGCAGACCAATAATGAATTTTTTCGAAGTTGTTACGTTTTTGTTAACCTTACTACGCTAACGAGAAAATGCACATGTTGGCGTTCATGTTAAACGACAGATCATAATGCTCGCTCATCTGAGGGGATGACGTCGGTCCGGTCTTGAAGGTCTAGTCACGGCAGCTTAGTTTTCAGTGAGCTGACAGAGAAAAAAGCAAACAATTCAGGCTTTTGAAGATGTACCACGTGGTTCTTCAATCCGTAGAGTAAAAGTTCAAGGGTTACCACGTTCAACAATCACATCGATACGTCCGACGACCACCATTGCCGCTGTGCTGTGGGAACCATTCGTGATGAGTTGGAATTTGAATTTTTATAGTCTGTAAGGTTAACACTCTCGCGTCAAAAAGCCTATAATATCCTGCTTATATTGCCATTGGGAAACGCAAAAACATGCGAACTTTCATCCCTTTTGAGCAGAGGGTTAAGCGAGACTAGAGAAGAAATCATCTGAGCAGATGGTCAAACCTACCGGACCAACGTTTGTATGGAACTTGTCGGGTAAGGCTTCTCCGAAGAAAACAATATCTAAAATTGTGTAACGGTGGAGCCAGATTGGGCAGGGACAAACCAGGTTTCACCACACCATCACATGAATTCGCTTGACACTTGGGGATTTTGTCATTCATCACAGCTTCTGCAACTATATTCGGCTACGGTATCCGAGAAGACAAACCTGCCATGAATTCCAACGGGTACAGTTTTTTGCACGCAATGCAATGGCCTGTGTGAAAAGTTCCGTGCGCTTCGATAAGTTTGTCCTCTGGCAAACCGGTTAAACGTTCCAAGTCGTCTACGTTCTGTTGAGAAAAAAACTTTGTCAGATGACTACAAATGACGCGGGTACTTGAGTATAGTGTCGCCGCAGCAGTTTCTTTTCGTGCAGCAGGCGGAAAAAATAATGTGCGAGGGTCGGCTGAAAAGTGGCTTCTGGTAACAAGTGTGAACAATTACCTTGGCTTCGGGTCGGTAGAGTCCTTTGGCCACTTTGAAAAAAGGTTCGGGGTTATCCTGGAGACTTTGTTAGAAGACACAATGGAAGGAACAAATGAACGAACGACAAAATAATCTATGGTGAACACAGCCATGGGATAAGGAAGATTGTACTGTCCCAAGTTATCATACAATCCACTTTTGGGGCTCCGAAAGTCTGGGATCCCAGCAGCTGCAAGAGAAACATCAGGAAGAGGGTGAATAGGAGCGAAAAAGTTGTCGAACGCAGTCTTCAGAAATTTACTTTAAACGAAAACTCGGCTGCGACGAGATTTAGCTTTATGAGCTTGTGATGGGGTACATTGGAAAGAAACCAAAACGGATCCAAAACAGCCTACCTGACTGGTACAAACATGATGGAAAACTCAGCTTCAAGCGCAAATTCCTTAGCAGTCGGTGGGAAGTAAAGAGGTGTGCATAAAATGAGAAGGCAGAAACTACGCAAGTGCAAAATATTATCCCAAACAAAGAAAATGGTGGATAAGATGTTACGCGGTCAGTTGGAACATTCTGTCAGGCAGATAGTCTTGTAAACCTTCGCTGGATGCTTTGCTAAGGCCATCCGATTAGTGAGTCGATAAATGCGCACCGCGCGCAACAACTTACCAACCTTAATTTCCCTACATTTCTCCGGCAGCCAAAAATGGTCGCAGGTTTGTTCCAAGTCAGTTAGTCGCAGGTAGATCCGGTTCAAAAAAACATTGTTCCATGAGTCGCATGCAGGCCTAATTTTCATCACATCACAACAGCAGAGGACGAGGAATGTCTGTGATATATGCCACAAAATTACTGTGAAAATCCTAGTTATACCAGGAAAATTCTTGGCAGTCTAGATGACTAACCCATTCACAGTTGATGATAAGTTTTGGACCCAGACTGTCCCAGAAATCCTACAGATTCGTAAGGCTCAATTTCAGTAATTCATTGAGGTCCGATATTTAGTCGATGAGTGTGAGAATGTCCCTCTCCAGAAGCATTCGAATGCGTCAGTGAAATCACTGTCAACTGATTGCCGTTTGGTAGTCATATTTGACTGTGTGGATGTTCCTATATCACTTAAGTAATCTACATCCGGGGCTCGAATTATTAGACCGTCCATACGTCCTAACAATCACCAGTCAGCTATTTGACCATACATGAATCTATCAAGTTGATCGGTCAAAGGTCTCAGAAAAACTATGTACATTCAATCACAAGGTCACGGCCAATCATGCATCGGCAGTATCGTGACTGTGATGACCGTTTAGGTGTATGCGACTTTGTCGAGTTGCAAATTCGAAGTGTCCCCTCGTTCATCCATTACATCGGAATGGAAAATTAACTGGGTCCGGCTCAACGAAAATGTAACGACAAGGGAAGTCAGACAAGCGCATCTAACAAGCCGACGCACCCGAGTGCCGTTTGTCATCGTCAATTGGATGATTTAATAAAACGAACAATCAGTATAAATACTGCAGCTCGGGAATATGTAATATCGCCAAAAGTAGACTGTAGGACGAATGACGGATATCGAGAAACTGACAGTATGACGGGGAAACAGTGGAAAAAACATTTAATTAAGATCGTACGACGGAATACCGCTGTAAAGAATAACCCTCCTGCGTATAACCCTGTAACTGAAGAGATGAGAGTGTGTAATGCGTTCTAAAGAGGCGCCAACCAACCTAGTAGGAACGCTACAGGGCACTCGAATCTTTTGAGAGTTCTCGGAGAAGCCATTGTCAAGTGAGCTACCACCTGGGGAAATTTAACGACGTCATAAAGGACCGTTTGTGCTCGAAAATCCTCTGTCGGTCGACGGATTTGATTTGCCGAACCACCGAATTTGTTGTACACAGTCTTTTCATGCCTAGTCCCACTGCGATAGAAACCCCTAGGTTGCTTCCATCAATCTAACTATTTTATTTGGCTTAATTAACCACAGTGTTAGCTGAAAAGCATTCAGGAGCCGAAGTCACATAGGAAATGGTGCGCAGTGTATAGAGATACTGACACAACGGAAGTGAGAGCGACACACATGTAGCCAATTCTCCAATGTAGACTTGTAGTCATCACTTGTAACCAAGTCTACTTGAAAAGAAGAGCGGCCGGAAAAAAGGTCAACTTAAAATGAGAAAGGTTGGGAATCGGTGCTTACTAGGGTCACTCATGCCAAAGTGAATTACAATGATTTGTTTTTGCATAAAATCAAACCCATCAAGAAAGAGGAACAAAGTTGCGTACCAGTCGAGATTCCAGCACCAGCCATGGTCACAATGTTCTTCACGGCACCACTCTTGATCAATTCGGCGATGCCTTCCAGGTCAACTGAGGTTAGCTTCGGCTGTTCTTTATCCGCAGAATCTAACGCATCCTTCAAACTAGATAAATCAAAGTTTGCCATAATTGACTCTCGAATCAGAAAGCGTGGGTAAAGTGAACGACCTGAAACAAGGAGAACAAGTGGATCAGTTGAGGAAGCTTATAGATAATTCTAGCGAACTTTGAACTGCTTATGGACGTGAAGCGGAGTGATGGAACACTCACCAGATCCAAGCGACTGGCATGCGAATTTATTGAAAGTATCTCCGCGACGCCCTAGATACGAACCGAACTTTGCGTGCTTCCCAAAACCAACGACTACACACATAAGTATATCCCAATACTGATATTTGGTTGAAGGGTTCATTTTTATGCTAATTTAGTATTCCTGACCCCGAATTCGTTTGAAACGTTCACAGTAATCTGTTCAGAGTTGGTTACTCCATTTCGCAGTCACCAATGAACTTAACTGACCTTCATTTGTTGCCTCATCTTCTGACCTGATTCACCCGGATACACTGACTAACCATGCTGCAAGACTGCATGCCCGTACTGATTAGGATTCCTAAGTGCGTATTCTCTGGAGCTATCATTACTGCATTCGTGCTCATAAGCGCCACCTCCATGTTAAGGCGTTAGAGTTGCGCTAATCTGTGGTAGCAAGACGACATAACGAACAGGCTCCCCTAATGCCGAGGTGCTCCGGAGGTTTTAACCATAAACACACCGCGTATTTAGCAGTCACAGTACACGGATGAGTGCCGCAGTGGGGAGCACTCGGGACAGATCCTCAATTATCCACTCTTTGCAAGCCATGTAAAGATCAATGCCAGATATTAGGCTAGCATACTATGCGCACATGTACAGTCGTTATTCCTTTCCACGAGGATTTCCGAATGAAGTAACATCTGCTGGAATTGGTGTGTTGGAAGTGTGCGGGATGCAATGAAATTGTGCCTTCTTGTCGAGCTTTTTATCTGTGCTAAGTTGACGCGACCCGGTAAATCTAGGTCAGATACAGAGGCCTTCTATATAAAGTGGTCGTTAACGAATAAGATAGATTGTAGTTGTTCATTTGGCCGCAAAACATATGTTCTAGCGCACCACACTGACTTCTAGAAAGCTCGATAAAATTCTGTGCGCGTGTGCTGATACCGAATCCAACGTTCCCTTGTGAGGGATTCTACGGAGAGGGAATTCATTCGAGAGGAAAACGTTCTTTCGTAGAAGGAGTCAGCTGTGGACAAGAATACTGTGTCAGCAACTAAATGGGAGATACCAAATACAACATAAATAGGTCAGAGGTTTCACTGCAGTTCCGGCATCCTTAGGGATCAGCGTGACACTTGGATTTGGTTAGATAGTACAACGTAGCGAAGCCCACGCTTTTGCCATTCATAGGTGCGATCCAACCCGAGGAAAGCAAGAGGGCTGGGATACTACCAGGATGCACAAGCCTAGACAAGTGTCGAGATGTCAGAGTTCGTTTCCAAACGCGGACCTCAACCACTGAGCTATCTCGAGCCCAGACAAAAGTGCGGTCCCAACTCAACAGTATGCTAAAAGAACGGAGGCTAAGAGCATGCAAAGCATTAGCAAGGCTACTTCGTCTGGACTGCAGTGAAAGGCTCGCGGATTCAACCAGTGGTGCACCGAAATTACGACTGCGATGTTCTTGACATTCAGTGATGAGATCTGGTCTTCGCACGAGGAAATAGATAACTCATCGGCGTCTAATGAAGGAAAGCACACCATTCCTTGCTCTCCTGGACTAAGCCTACAAAGTGGCCATATATCGCAATGAAATTGGTCCGGCGACAAAATAAGATGAACGAAATCCTGACGGATCCTTCTGGATGTCACAAGGTAAAAAAGTTGTGCCAAAACCCGTGAAAGGTCACAGAAATTACGGCATATGGACCATCGCGAATGATCGAAGTGTAGAGAGGGATAAGCAGCTTGCATTCGAGGGTGGGGCGAGATGGCTCAAGTGGTTAGAGCGCCGATTTACTGAACAGAAGGCCCGTGGTTCGAACCCGACCTCTGCCTCTCGACTGCTCCTGTCTAGGCTTGGGCAACCTGGCAGTATCCCAACCCTCATGCTTCCTTCAGGTAGCATGGTTGTTAGGCACCAGAACGCATTCGACGGTCGAACGCTTTCGTTATCTGCATTCAGAACAGCCTCAACTGAAGATCGGATGTCGGAGCAGATTACTCATGAGACAAAAAATCAAGTTAGCAGGCCATACTTTCTGGAATCGCGAATGCAGGGACGTAATGTTCATTGACGAAGAAAGCATCATTCAGGCAATCCGGCGGACGAAAAGTGCACACAGGCCGAATTCACACCGGATGGTTTCTACGGTACGTGAAAGTCACTTGGTTCAATCAGATCGAAAAATCACCACCGATTACTCTCTTCATTTATACGCAAAGCACACGTGAGGAAAGTGACAATTCATTATGGCGGCACCTCTATTAGTACTGGATTATAAGTTGAATATCGGACCCTCGTACAGACAGATCCACATGAGGATATATTCAAAAACACGTGAGGCATATTAGCAAAGCATCGTGATCACGAAGGAAGCCAAATGAAGATGGACAATATTCATGGCTTTCGTATAGATCCTATCGCAGAAACGCTGATAATATTGGAAACAGAGAAGAGATTCTGTAAACCCAACTGACCCCTTCGTCCTTCGAATGTTTCGTATATGGTTGTAATTTTGTGCATGGATTTTCATACCGCCGTAATTCTCCTGACACCGGTATTGACCTAACGTAGATCACTCGCAGATAGCCTAGGGTTGTTCTTATTCAGTTCTAACAGTGGAGGAGGCCGTTTGGTGTTGACGGTTTGCTTTGCACCGGGGAGTAAAGTCTGTCATCATCCGTTTGGCCCATTTGCACCGATGGTTGACAATGTTGCACGTGGCGCCAATAGCATTTCCGCTCCTTACAGTTTCTTCTCACCCGCACGTGTCTGCAGAGCCATTGAATGCACATCCGTAAACATGTACAACATATTGTCAACAGGTCTAGCCCGGTTGGTGACTCTCAATGGACTTCTACATGTATGTGCGTAGAAAATCTTTCCTTAGGTTTACGTCGCCATCAGAGGTTTGCAAGTACACCACGCAAAACGCCTGTGACTGCCTGTGTGCAGACGGGCTGCGATGATCTAGCCAGTCCCAAAATGTATACTAACGACAGGAAGGCCAAAGTGGTACTGAGATAAAGAGCGGCGAGTAACCCTACTACGTGACAGCCTGGAGGTCGTACTGTGCCGTAAAATTGGAGTGCCTGGTCGAGACGACCAGCACGGAAGCAGAGACGCGCCTTCCCCCGAGAATGCGTTAAAAAAAAACATCCAATATGGTCGAATTACAATAAAAACTAATCGAAATCCCGATGCGGCTGCGAATACACCCGTTGCGCGCAGTCGGATGACTATTACCTGTGCCCTAGGACTGGAACAACACTCCGCACACAAAGGGGCTTGTGTCATTGGTTCCGGAAATGGTCCCCCCCCACTTGCAATGAGACTTTTAAGTCGAGGGTTCGAAGTTAGACACCCCAAACAAACCTTCTAACTCAGCCTACACAGTGTGGAAGTGAAACTTTCCCTTGTAGCCTTTGTTCACTGGCCTTCATCAACAAACCCTCCACATTCTTCAACAGGTCCACCGTAGACACACCATCTGCCAGTTCCCTAATCACTGTTGTGTTTAAATTAACAGCAAGCAAAATAAATTCAGCAGATGACGTAAATTAACCAAAATAATCCATCACTAAACAGGAACTGATTCATGCTGAAGTTTCCAACATCCATACTGTCTAGCTGTAGCTGAAACTTTTCACTCGCTTTCGGTCGATGCGTGGTGTCTTCAAAACACGGCTATACGATTCCACTTCAGTCATGTTCGCAAAACGGTTCTGTACGCTCTCAGCAGTTCAACACCTCTGTCTTCTGCTGTCGGGTGATCCTGAGTGGACTACTCGTGATATCTGCGGTGTTGCAGTTGCTCTGTCCCAGGGCCGAAAACACTTCTTTGGACTGGATCCCACTAAAGAGTTAGTCTTGCACTATGTTATTGTCCGGTCACTACGACCTACCAGTACAAGCACTCACACCGATTTACCTAAAGGCCAGCAGTCGTAAACAAGTCATGGACTCGCTTGAATCGTGCGGCTGTCACTTACCGATGGAAGGACTCAATAAAAAAAATCAGTTCTTCTGAGGTATGCAACTTGACTCCAGTCACACCGTTGTGAGGACTTGGTTATGAAATCGCTTTCCCTCTGGGCTACGCAAGCCGGAGCCAAGCAGTTTCAGTGGCTCATAAGTATCGGGATGATCTGGTTACTGCAAACTCATAGTCACATTGACGACGAAGTTTGGTTGGAGGTTGAATGGAAGCTAGTGAAAGAAGCTATACTCTCAGCTTTTAGGATTGTCCAAGTAATCCAACTTGAGCAAATGAACACTGGATACGGGAGACCTTGATACTGCCTGAGATTCAGCTGAGTCTCTCGTGAAAACCAAATTGATTTGCAAATAAGTGTACTTCTCGAAAACAGTCCAATTTGGGTTCAAGTAAAACATAAGGTTGACGGAAACTCGGGGACTGCGTCTACCCGATGAGTCCCAAGAAGGTCAAAACTGGTCATGAGTTGTCGAAGAGTTTTCAGCAACCTTGTGAGTAGTTTCCTTTATGACTAGAGTTACATCTCGAGTTGACTCCTTTCAAAATAAAGTACCCGCGCTCTAATTAATCCCGTTCTAACAACACATTTCGGAGGTGACCGTACAGTATGAGATTGACTAAGCCACTGTTGTTCTAAAACTCAGCTCCGCATACAACCGACTTCGGTCATACGTCCACAAATCGAAGTTTGGCCTATTACCAACCAAACAATAGCACGATTTCAGACCTGTGCTATGGATGAAACGTCGTTGGAACCCGGATTGTCTCCCAGACCACAGCAAAGCACGGGAAGTGAATGCGAATGGACGGGAAGTGAAGTCGTCGAGGAGAGAAACCCTTGGATGCTGATGGTAAAATACAACAATAGAAGCGTCCGGCATCCGTGTCCCGATCGCGGACACATTCCACGGAATCTCGTCGGCTGACTGGCTAGTTTGTAAAAAAAAAGCAGAGTCTGACTGCATGACAAGATGTATTGTACAAGAGCAAAAGGCGGTAGGCTTCAAAGACACGGCTGCGGAGATACAAAGGAGTCACGGCATACACTTTACCTGCAGGATAAATTTGGCTAAGAAGACTGCGACAACGATCAATCTACTGGAGCTCTCCATTGAAGTCGATTGAGCAACTGTGCTTGATACTCTTGGCTCACGGGGCGATATTCTGCTAGCTTCATATGAACCTCTGCTCGCCCAGAAGAAATACTCCGTGCGGTCGCCGAATAACCAACCAATTCTGATAGTGGTGCCAATGCTTGGATCACATGACATGCCTCCGATGTACTGGTTGACGGATCTGCTGAGTCAGCTGAATCCACCGCCAGAATTTCCGCTCGTCGGGCAGACAGATCACCAAGGAATCGGGACAGGGAATCACTCTGATTATCTGTGACAAAAAAACGGAAGCAAACAAATGTATGTCGTAAACATGAGAATAATGAGCCGCGCAGAGTCGGGTTTACCTCCATTACTGAAGTTTATTACATGCGTACCGATTGGTTCGAGCAACAAAAACATACCGCTCGCTTCTCATAATACTGTCAGTAAAGTTAACACAGGCAGGGAAGGTAAATCTGATAGACCGGGAAGAAATAATAGGGAACGCCAGATTAATAAAAACTCATGAAAAATAGGCCGACAGAAGCAAAAAATCAGCGGGGATGATTAATTCGGCAAACAAGGAAGTTAGGAAAGAGGACACTTTATGGAGGGGAATTAGAAAATAAATTATAAGGGAACGCTTAGAAAAGCTTTATTGCATGATGACTGATGTGGCCACATTGAACTCTACACGGGAAGCAGCTGATATTGGCGAGACACACTGTGTCATACTCCGCACAGCGTTCATTTTGTTCATTAAAACGGTCGAGAGAAGCATTAAAAATACAGGGTAATGTCCCATCTAAAATAATAATAATAATAATAATCGTTTAGCTGTAGCACCCTTTCGGTGCCTGGCTGCCATACCACACGAAGGAGGCACGAGGGCTGGGATACGGCAAGGTTGCCCAAGCCCAGATAGGGGAAGTCGAGAGGCAGAGGTCGGGTTCGAACCACGGATCTTCCGGTCAGTAAATTCGCGCTTTAACCACTTGGGCAATCGCGCCCCGTCTAAGTTTGTGTCCGCTGATCAGCCATGTGACTTTATTTCGCGTTCGAATGCTTGCGCACCGAAGGAGACGTTGTTTTGTAGATGAAGTCAATCCCTACTGAGAAGCAGAGAAGCACTGTACACCCGTTTCAGCCCTGTTGTGAATCAACAGCAATGCGTACCACATGAATCTTCAAGAAGACTCCAACTCGTAGCCACCAGACTGGAAGCTGAAGACCAAACCGTTCGGTCACGAGCATCTGGTTGGCAGTGTGATTGACTCGCACTACTACCTTGGTCCCATGTGTATTCTATTTCCGCACTTAAATTCATAATCGTCCGCGAATCCAGAACTACAAATGAACACTCCCCACGAACCCATCGATTTGATAAGGGTAAGCTCAACATCAAATTCTCGCTGCATAGAAAAATTGAATAAACGTGCTTAAGGATATGAGGAATCCACAAAAAACAGCCCAGAAAAATAGCCATGCCCATATGATCCATGGCATCGTTCATAAATCTGTGAAATATACGTGTAAAACCCGACAGAAAGCTAGCTACTGATGGAAAGGAGACGTCCAAAGAGAGCGTGTACGAAATACTAAATAGTTGCTTGTAACATGAGGCGGACTGGTGCAGCGCATTCAGTTGCCTGGAAACGAAAGGTTCAGCTGGCTTCCAGGTGAGTCTCTCCGAAAACCAAATTTGTTTGCGAATGAGTGTAGTTCGCTAATTTCGTGCAATTTGGTTGGAAGTAGAACATAAGGTTGACGGAAACCCAGGGACTACGCCTACCTGATGAGCCCCGAAAAGGGCGAAACCGGTCGTGGGCTGTCGAATAATTCTCAGCAACCTTATGATTAGTGCAGTTGCTTGCAGCATTTTCACTTCACGCTGTCGATATATTCCGATAAATCTGCTGACAGAAAACTGGGACGCTTTAATATGGAAACGGAATAAAATTTCCATTATGGTTAGATCCTCCACTCGAAATAATGAGAAACTGTGATGAATTCCGTATACTTCCAGAACGTACCCAAAACACTGACCGAAAATTCTCATCGACAACTAAACATCTTATCATACGGGGTGTCTTCAGGGTGAAAGGTCACGTATCCACTGCAGGACTGCGCTGGTTTCAGCCTATCGCTTCAAATCTATGTTCGTGAACACTAAAAATGCGCGAGATTTGGGAATTTAGCATTCAAATCACTCTCGTTCGAATTGTTCTGCTCCTGTCATCGCAATACAACGGCATAATACAGTTGGGCCCCTCAGATGGTGACATCCCAACCCCAGAAATCAATGGTAAGATCGGCTTCGATGTCAAGTGATCGAACATTCACAAACCGAAGAGACAGAGAAAACCTGTGTCTAGTTAACGTTCGACCCAGAAACGAAAAGCACCATGAAATTCCAACATATTCACTCATAGCTTTAGATATTCAGCACCCAACCCTGGTTGATCGATTGATTTTTACCAAGTTAGAGCGTCAGAACTACTAAGTTGAAAGGACCTGGAGACACAAATCTAATAGGGGTATTCCCAAAGACACCAACTAACCACAAACAATAAGTTGCAAGCTCAGTTCAACCCAGTCTTGGAATTACTTGTGGCTTAGCTTATACGGTCGCAGCGTATATGGGCAAGATAATAAGTGACTAAGCCGACCTACCTGAATGAGTGGGGACTCGCAGTTCCACAGACATCATTGGTTCCATAATCCGCCATTCCGGTATTTTACGCACTCCGTCCGTCACAGCAGCAGCTACTGCCGACCGGAGTAGCGTGATGAAAGAAGCGAGGGCTGAATTTGACGACGGCAATCTGGTCAAGGTCGGTAGTTGACTGACATCTACGTCGGCGATGGATTGCGGCAGACGACTGAGTGATTCACAAGCAACTCGATGTAAGCGAAGGTCCACGTTCACCACTGGTGAACGCATCAACGGTCCAGCCATTTCAAGTGTCGAAAGGCAGACTTCGCGAATGTTGTGTTGAAGGCGTCCATGAGGGCTACCAATTTCATTTTTGCCAGTCTGTTCCACATGGCCGAGCCAAGAACGATCAAAGTGAATCTTGTGGAAAAAAGAAAAACGCCGATTTAAGGGTGATCCAAGTTCAGAGCGAAAGCATAACACTATGAGCAGGAGGGATAGGTAGTATCAAGCAGGTACGCCATTCAGACACGTCGACGTCAGAGTCAGAAATATCAGCACTTTGCACTGGGTGCGGCTTGCGAACAAATTGGAAGTCAATTTCAGGGAATAAAAAAGGAGCGACCCAATACGGCACCACATGAAATAGGCTATTTCACCTATAGCCAGCATCAGTTGCCGACAATCTAACGTATGCAATCAGTCCGGTGGGCACGCTGATCAGAAAACGAATTCAGGCGACCTTGAATAGCCACAAGTAAGCCCCTGCGAAGAATTTTCGGCAGCATTGATTGGTCAGAATGTCAGCCAATCTGGATCACGAATCTATAGCTCGGCTGATCACGCCCCTTAGGAAGAGTCTAGTGTGACCAGGTGGAACATTCTGTGATGACCCCATAAATACAGTTCTAATAACCTTCCTTTGTCTGCACAAATGGCTGTCTCAAACTACCATGCATTCTGATATACCACAGTGGGCGAAGCAGGAAGCCAAGGACCGACATGGATGGGCGAAATGGTCCAAGTGGTTAGAGCGCAAACTTACTGACCGGAAGGTACATGGTTCGAACCCGACCTCTGCCTCCCGACTTCCCCTGTCTAGGCTTGGCCAACCTAACAGTGGCATGAAAGTTAAGCAGCGAAAAGGTGCTACAGCTGAACGATTATTTTTTTACGACCGACATGGAGGTTGCACCAACGTCAACAAGACACAACAACTGGCGACAACTCGAACACATGTCATTTTCGGCAGAGCAACAGAAGCAGTTCGAAGAAGCCTAAATGAAGCTTCTGGAATCTCTGATGCGCAGTACGTCGGTGAATACGATAAAAACAGTTGGGCCTTTGGTTTTTTCTACATCTGCTGCAGCCAGCTCGATTAATTCATTCAATTTCGACGCCGAATCTGGACAAACTTTCGAAAGTTAGTCCAATAAATATAAGGACTTTTCTTTAGTTTGATGATGAATGCAAAGGTTCGACCGTTGCTATGGAGATTGAAGACAGCCGAACATTGTCGATTCACAAATTTCATATTTACAAACTTCCTTATGACCTTGGCTCCACAGATACTGTCAAGATCCTGGCCCAGATATTCGATGAGCAAAGTTCATTGTTCCATATATGTTATCAGTGTCTGTGAAGGTTTAATCATGTATATATATATATATATATATATATATATATATCTTCGACAGCAAGCATGTTGGTGACAGTGTGAATGGTGAGGTCATATGGAATCACAAACTGGGGTAAATGAACTTGCTACAGGACCCTAATAGTGCTCTTTTTTCGAAATAACAGAGTGATAGCTTATTGTTTTCGTCGGGCAATCGCAACCAAGCTGTTGAAACGTTATGGTTGATACTTACTTATATGAAATACCTCGGAGTTACCTGAGCTAAAACCGTGAGTTGGTCATTTCATACTCAAATTGTTTTTCACAAGTCTTGTAACTTTAGTTTTATGCTTTCAAACTGAAAGCACTAGTTGTTCTTTCAAAACTCTATTAAAAAATTGTTATTTCAGGTGTTCTTTGCTGGGTTTTAATGTCACCATATCATGAATCCTAAGTAAGTGCAGTGAGTCTCCAAGAATATTATAGTATTATTATAGTCGAAAATCCCTCTGAGGGTTATAATAACTTCGCCTGCAAAATTTTATCGCACGGTCAACACCCGCTCTACCCAGCCATATACATGGCGATACCAATTTTCTGAACGTAGGAAATGAGCATCTATGTTGGTGAAAATGGAGCCTAAACTGAGTAACTTAAGCGAAAACGCGTGATAACAGCACATCAAGGAATGAGTCACAGTTAAACTGATGCCGGACCATGTAGAAATAACGAAATTCCCGTACACGATAGTTTATAAACTTGACAGCATGTACTTCGATTGCTTTCAGAAAGTTTCCATGTCTGGAGATGAACGCGGATGAACTGGTTTTGACTGAGGTTTCCTGCTGTAAGTGAAGCCAATCAATGCCCAAAAGCCGAGAAGCAATGTGCAGCTGTTTGGGAATCAGTAGCAGGACGCAGTCCTCAAAATTCCAGGAAGTTTCAAACACTCGGCTTCCCGACTGGTAGCTTGAGCATTTAATGGTTCAGCCACAAGTGGCTGATTAGCATTGTGATGAATTCGCACTTAGAAAAGATATGGAGCCTCTGGTTTTCAGTCACGGAATCACTTCACGTGTCCACGTGTTGACTGGCTCCTCGAGAGACTTCTCAAAGCAAAATTCCACTCACTTCACTCACTGAATGAATTATTCTTCTTTATGAGTTTGGCTTTTTGTTGAGTTTAGTCTTCTCAATTCGCAGAGCGCAGTGTAGTGGTTCTAGCCGCTACATCTTCGTTCACGAAGGACAAGAAGAATAAGGGAATGAGATTCATCACGCGCTGGAGGCGATGACAGTTCATCGAAGTCAAATAAATCTGCTTGCCCAATGTAGCAGGAAGTTGGAGAAATGCAGTGAAGGCGATGCTCTGATGCGAGAGCACCGCCAGCTATGTGGCACTTCCACATACGTCTGGGTCACTAGCCACGTCTTCGGAAGTACGATAGCTACCCACGCGACTCATTTGACTGGTAAAAGCTTTCATTTGTCGTTGTTAAGTCATGGAATGACCGTCCGTGAGTCGTCCTTATCCGAGGCTAGGCTGAGCGAAAAGAGATCTGCGAGGCACATGGCCCTCTGGCATACGAAGTACATGGCCTAACCAGCGTAGCCTTGGAGTGTGGCCGGCTAATCTAACGAGGAAGTCGACTTTCCCGAGGAAAAAAGGTACACCTCAGCATTACACATGTTCCCAGAGTACCCGCACAACGCTTCGGAGAAATCGACGGTCAAATATAAAGTGGCTATCTCTCTGGTCAATAAAGCAGGATCAGATCGTGAAATACACTCCACCATGAACGTCGGCACCACAAGTGTACAAGGTTGGCAAACGCTGCCTTGCCATCCCAATTCGTGGAATGATTTCTTCTTTCGCAAGTGCACCCGGACTTATGAGCTGTCGAGATCGAAGAACTTATCTACTACTGTTGGGGATATCAGTATCCCCCAAAACTATGCAATTTTTGAATAAGTGCCAAGTGTTTATCTCGAGAATGTGAATTTTCATCTTTCACACCATTTCCCGCCATCTTATGCATTTTTCAAAACACCGCGCTTCTCTCCTCTTGGCTAGTTGCATGTTGGTTGTGCTAACGAATTTATCGTTATCCAAAGCCATCCAAAATATATGTACATACGACGCTGATCGCGTTGTACATCACACTTGGTTGAGGCAGTATAATAACCTTCCTCTGAAGGTTCGAAAGCGTACTACCACTGAACAATTTTTTTTCTTCCTTGGATAACCATGCGACCGTAAGCGGCACCGCGAAGCACGAGCATCTTTATCTGTGGAGTAGTCCAAGGGAAATAAAAAGACATTTGCTGTGAAGTGGTACAAGACATTGAAATCGATATCACTTTAGATACCTGCCATGCACCATCAAGTATACACTGCTTCCTAAGGCTCTTTGAATGAATGAAAGGGATTAAATTAATGCTCCCAATGTGGCGAACCAAGTTTTACTCAAGAAACAAACCTGAGGTTTTGGATATTCGCTGGCTTCAACTGAAACAATCGCAAAAGCTACTTTCTCACTTCCATCGACCGAACCAGTGACGCGACCGTACCCTTGGAAGGCTGGAGTTCTGATGGTCTGCTGCTGTTGTTGTTTTGAACGCACCAGAGGACATTCTTTGTAAGCAATCAGTAAGGGTCCATTTCGAACGTCCACTTTGTATTCTCGTTGTAGGCGTGACAGAATAACCTCAAGATGCAAATCGCCCATCCCACCAACGATCCACTGTCCTGTCTCGGCATCGAGTCTAGCCTGGTGTTGAGAAATACATTTCGAAAGATTGGTGAACTATCAACGATGAACAGAGGAAAACTTGTAGGCAGACGAGACTCGATCACATAGATTACTTGCCTGCACAACTGTGTTATAGGTACTGAGTTGGTTCACCGTTGCAGAACAAATGAAGTAAAATGACTGAAAGCGTTTGTTTGTTACAAAAAAAGTCCAATGAAAAACTTTAACTAGGCCACTCTTTCACACAACTTCACACGCTGACAGAAGTTAGAAGTTGGAGAATAAACAAGAGCGTAAAAT